ACATCATTCGATCTCAAAAAGGCTTTTCGTTGTGGAGATATTGCATTTCCAAAGTCAGATTTTTGTAGAAATCCTATACAAATTTTTTTCTTAATTCTTTTTTTCAAAAAAAGGGGATTTTCTGAACCTTGCCATGGGAAACCCCATCTTTGTCTTGTCCGATCGGGCTGAAATTTTTACCACAGATACTTGGGGACATATTCCAGAGGTAGTTTTCACCGTTTTCAAAAAGCTCGCACTTTTCCTATTTTTGAGGCCATAGACGAAAAGGTTGTGGTCAAGAACCAAGATCTCAAGATCCGAAGTCCTCTAAATTGATGAAAACAGGCCAAAAACCAAAACGGTGAAAACTACCTCTGGAATATGTCCCCAAGTATCTGTGGTAAAAATTTCAGCCCGATCGGACAAGACAAAGATGGGGTTTCCCATGGCAAGGTTCAGAAAATCCCCTTTTTTTGAAAAAAAGAATTAAGAAAAAAATTTGTATAGGATTTCTACAAAAATCTGACTTTGGAAATGCAATATCTCCACAACGAAAAGCCTTTTTGAGATCGAATGATGTCTCAAATTGTAGACCACATCGAGGTCTATTACCCCCCGTACTCAGCTCAAAATCCGGTTTTTGGTCGAAAAAGAGGGGGGGGGGGTACCCTTAATTTTAAACAAGGTCCGTTTTCACTGAATTAGGTGTCAAACATTTTCACCATCAATCATTTGGAAATAACTTTATTTAATATCTTTTTTTTTCTTAAAACGAACATTTTTTGATGATGTTAGCAACTATCTATGCAAAATAGTAACCAGTAGGAACATTTCAATAAATTATTACATATGACTATTCATATCCATTTTTCAATAACTCTTAGAACTTGATAATTTGAATTGAATTATCTTTGCTCTAAATTTAATAGAAAAATAAAATTCTGAACCACTGAAGATGATCAGCATAATACATTTCATTGCATACCATATCTTAAATAACCATTTATTTCGACTTTGAATAATTATCATTGCCATTAGTATAACAAACACGATTCAGCAATATTTCAACAAAAGAAAAAGGCTAAAAAAAAAAGATTTCACCGAAGAGTTCTTTTCACAAGACTCGGATCTTCTATAAAGAATTTCACATTGTGTGATTTGTCTGTGCATAGATATATGCAAATATTCAATGTTACAATCATTGTGCCTCATCCGATATACGTATATATATCTTTATTTTAAAAATAGAAAAATTTGTTAACGATAAACTAACAATTCATTAATAATTTTTTCTTACATTATCACTGATGTACAAAAATTTACTAAAGATCATTATAATCAAAAAGTATTTGAGCATTCGGAAAGAGAATATGCATTTCTTCATTGCTTAAAAGGTTTTTTCATCATAAAAACGAACTCTTTGTAAAAGTTTAATACGATTTAATGCATATCGAATAAAATTATCTTCATGTTCATGTATTAATATTTCATGAAATAATGTTCGTCCAATAAACATTTGTAAATAAACAAAACTAGGTAAAAGATGAAGAAAACGACGAAAAATTTTATAATCATCATATTGTGTTCGTAAAAGAAAACAAAATTTAGTAATTGAAGGTAATTGTAAACTATTATTTAAAAGAAAAACATCACTAATATGAGAAATATTTCTATTTCGTTTATGTTCGTGTTGACATCCAGACGATCTGAATGGATATGTTAATTCGAGTGTTTTTATATTTGGAAATGCTTTTTCAATGAATTCGAATATTCCTAATGTTAATGGTGTTGTAGAGATAAATGAAAGTATACGAACATGTTCAAAACAAAGAGAAACTGTTCGATTTGATACACAAGATGAAATAAAATCATTGGAAAGATGTTTGAACTAAAAAATAAGATAAGAAAAAAGCTTGTCAGCGCAGCCCTTTAGAGGTAAAATGTGGAACTCACATGTTAGCTTGATTACACTAATACAAAATACGTTAAATAAAAAATCTTTAGCAGACGATAGTTATTTTCCAAGGAATTTAACATTATCATAATATCTACAGCAAATTTTGACGTACTATTATATGTCTCGATGAGCTCATAAACACTGATATTAATTATTTCCAAATGTTATAACTTTAGTAGTTCATACTTTTTATAGTGATCATATGACGACTGTAGCAAATCAATGCATCACTATTCATTATCGTTGACATCTTGAATTTAAATTTTTATCTGCACAAAAATCAAAAACTGCACTATTTAGAACATTCCCAAACGTATTCTATCCATTCGAATTTCACAAAAGACTCTGAAATGTCCTAGAACAGCAAAACGTGAGAACCTCTTCAACTATCCTATTCCGATTTCAATAATTTTTTGCGCGTAGATACTGCATAGTGTTCTAACAAAAACTCTAAAAAGAGGGTGTGGGTGGGGTGTGGGTGTGGGTGTGGATGCGGGTGTGGGTGCGGATGTATCTGTGTGCGTGTGAAGATTTCTTTACCATCACTCTCACCCGCATCCACCCACACCCACACCCACATCCACACCCACCCACACCCACCCACACCCACACCCACACCCACACCCACCCACACTCACACACACCCACCCACACCCACACCCACACCCACACCCTTTTTTAACAGAAGATACATGAAATACTGACATTCTATATGAATTTGCTATACAGAGCAATAAAAGTAATCCAAAGAAAAACTATTGACAAAACTATCAATGTCAGACAATAATTTCACTGTAATTGAAAGGAATATTTTTATTTGATTTTAATCTATAGAATCCCAATGCCGCATATCTATGTATTTAATTGTCTACTCTTTCTTTGAATGAAATACAAATTTATGAAGCACGTCTATAAACAAAGAGGAAACAACAGATTTCAAATTTTTGTAATCTGAAATTTTTTTCAGAGTATTCATAGATTTCACACAACTCTAGACTATTTCTGAATTTTCCTAAATTGATCGCAAACTCAGATATTCTCTGGTGTCCTCTAAGTTTCTGCAGCACTTCTACGAAGACTTTCTGTTTTTAGAGTTTCAAAAAATATAGTTGATAAAAATGTGAGTTTTTTCAATTTTCTAAGCAAACAACTAAACAAGTGATATGTGTATAGTGAATATCTCTAATACCTCTGCATATAGATACACTGCGTTCGAACTTTATACATGAAAATAAAATCATTTTAATAGATGCAGAAATCTTTTATCATGAATATTAATATGTTTATGCATTAAAATCAATGACAATTTCTTCATTATTAAATAATGACAATATACTTGTAAGTACTTATTCCACTATCGAAAATCAATCAATTCATTTTCAAATATTGATGCCAGTACAAGTAGGAATATCAGAAGATAAGAAATAAATAGAAATAGAGCTCTTTAACAATTATTACATTTAACAGATAAATCAGCTAATGTGTATCGTTTTCTTCTTCACCATCTCTATAATGCACCGTTGTCATGAGTGTTTGACTGTTTCTACGTATAAAAATGATCGAAAAATTGTATGATTAAAGAGATTTGAAAGAAGAGGAGAAAAAAGGCAAGATTGACTGAAATGAAACAGAATGCGTTACTATACCGAAAAAATAACAAGTAAATCATTTGAAAAAGCAAAAAAGAACAAGTAAACAGTCACAGCCTCAAGCAATTTCAATCAACAGAGACATCTTGAAGCTGTCAAAAAAAAAACAATTAGTTTTCCATTTTTTGATCGTGGTGAGTAAATTATTCAAAAGTTTCAGCAAATGAAAGAAATCATTTTGAGTTTTATATAAATCTTCAGCTTCGTTAATCTATGTCGTCTATTAGTTACGTACACGTACTACCCATCAATCACTTATGTGAATACTTCTTTCATATTTTCATCTTTTATGCTTATTGACTGTATAAAAGATGAATAGTTTGGAGCTTTATGTCTTTCTTTTTAGTGCATCAATTTAAGATCTTGAACATCTGAATAGCCTTATAAGTGAGATTCAAAGAATGTCAGTTCCATGATGATATTTTGAGATCAAAGTTGCTTGTTAAAATGTTTTAATATAGTAAGTACTTGTTCAAATGAGAAGGAAAAGTAAATCAATCAAATGAGTATCAGTATAAGTGACGAGAGGATGTGCCATGTACTAGAAGAGAAGCATTATATCAAAGCCTTCACTGAATTTACGTCTATGGTTTTATGAAGCATCGAAAATATTTTACTCTTCAATGAATGTTTGCCAGAATTATGGAATGTGTTTCTCCATCGTTAAAGGAAATTCACAACTGATTGCATAGTTTTGGGTATAGAAACAGATTAATAAGATTAATTTGTACGACAATGATGATAAACAAGAATAGGTATTGAATTAGAATAACTAAGAAATTATAATCACAAACTTTTAAGAAACTTCGATACATACAGCTATAGACTCTCTTCAACAAATACACTAGTTTTGAGCCTTAGTCATCCAGCAGTATTTGTGTTTTATATGGAGTAGCATAGAAAAAAAGACAACCTCAATATATTTTTAACACATTTTTTTTGCTTAGATGAACATGTAAGCCCGATTACGGATGTGGAATAATCTGAAAATCACTCTTCTCGTCCAACATTTTGCTTACGATTACATACACTCTAACTCTAATGAATATGCCTGTTTCCATTAATATCTTTGTATATAGCTAGAACTATACCCTCTATGTAAAAAAACTTTTTCTATTGACACTAGAATTTCCCATGTAAATAATTTTTGAATCAAATCGCGTCTAAATCGCGTTTTGCTTGCGTGCAAATCGCAACAGTCGAGCGCGTCTAGACGCAGCTCAGATGAAACATTTCTTGCTTTTAGATGCGGTTCGACATTAATTCTCGTTCAGACGCGATTTCTGACAAGGTCGTCTCCAAATGCGATTCAAAGTAAAGTCGCATCTCGACGCGTTCGAACCTATATTTCAAATTTTAAAAATGTATTACGATCCGCCTCAGGTTTGATCTGAGTCTCCATCAATATTGCCTATTGATGATCTTTACCTAACTATAGGCTAACGGAAAGTTCGAATTTTGATGTTTCTGAAATAATAGAAATGAGATTAGAACAAGTGATCTAGCGATTAGAAAGCAAGTGTACATACCATTGAGCCACATGTGGTCACATTAGTTATCAAACGAAACAGACTCTGTATATGAATGATTTATTAGACACTTATTTACAAATGCATGAATAAATAAAATTGTGTAGATGTTTGAGGAAAAATTAAAATTCAGAAAAATTTGACATTATTGGAGAAAAAAATTGCACTTTTATTTTTTCTTAAGAATGATTTTAAATGTTTCGATAGGAACAATAAAATTTAACTCTTTCTAAGAAAATTTTAAATTTTCCTGAATTTTAATTTTTCTTCCAAGATATGTACAACATTTAAATTATTATCACATACCACAACATCTATACTCATCCAAGAAAATTATGCATAAAACAAATTCAGTGCCATAATTTTTAAAATTACTTATGATGACAACTATTATTTAAAAAAAATATTGTTCATGTTTTTTTTTGAAAATTTCATTAATTTCAATTTCAGAGTACCTATTTTGCAAAATTAATGTCTCCAGTATTTTATTAAAAATTAGATTTATTCTTTCATGATGAAAAATTTGAAAATTCTTGAGACATAGCATTTTTGAAAGTCGATTGATTTGATACAAATATTGATATGTGTTTCCTAGCCAGTAAAAAGATATCGTATGAAAATTTTTTGTATTAATAATTTTCTAAACAAGTTTCGTTTATATCTTATTTGAACTTCGTTTAGACGCGATTTGTACAAAATCGCATTGAGACGTAACTTTTAATGAGTTTTCACCGCGCCTAGACGTGTTTCACAACAAAAACGCGTTTAAACGCACAAATCTTGCGTTTCGTGTTTACATGGGTTTTTTTACAATTTGTGTTATTAAATGCTGCAATATGAATCGATTGTGTCCATTTACTAACAATCATTGGCAAGTGCATTGATAAGCTTCTTTCCGCATTCTCATTATGAAAAAATTTAATTTATTAATATTTTCGATGTGTTTCTTTAAATTACTCAGTCGTGATCAAAGTATTGACAAGTCTAGTGGTATGAATTTCTTTTTAATTGAATATGTTTATGACTTGTAATCAGATATCTTTAATCATTCTTAATTATTAAAACAAGAACGAGTATGAATAGGTAATTATAGTTATATTTCATTTAGCAGCATCTAGACACATTACCTACTTTTTAATGTATGCCTACAACACAATGAAGATACTCGGAAAAGAACTAAGATATGTAGTTGTAGCTTAAATCTGTTTCTTACACTATTTTCGGAAAATATCTAAAAATGTAGCATGATTGTTTGATCATTCATTTCCGCATTGACTTTCTGGATCTCTATTTTGTAGATGGCGTGAAGTGGAAATTTTTATACTTGAGTATTTCATATCGCGAAAGAAAAATGTTGTAGGCATAGTGACAACACATTATCACTAACTTTTTAGTTCTAATTTCAATTTGTTATTTCTAGTGGCTTTTTATTGCAAAGAAACTACATTTCGTTCTTCTTTCTCAAGACGTTTTGACAATAGAATATTAGTAAGTCTAGCTGCAAAGTACAGTCCTGGAAAAAAATTCTGGGACACTTGAGAATGTTTGTGCAAAACGTTATACTTCGCTCGAGTTAAACTTTATATATATGGTAAGCGTAGTTATTGCTCAAGCTTTTATATTATGTCCTGCAAACCCAAAAGTGTGCGTTTATATGACATTATATGAAAGCTTGAGCAATAACTACGCTTATTATTTATATAAAATTTAACTCGAACGAAGTATAAAATTTTGCACAAACATTCTCAAGTGTCCCAGAATTTTTTGTCAGGACTGTACATGCCATTTTACAATTAATAATCAAAGATTACATTTCGTTTAAGTTCTATACTGAACTGCTGACAAACTCTTACTTCAAGCTTCATGTTAACATCTGAAGCAGTTTCATCAGAAGATTTATTGAAATGGAATGGAAAAAATCAAGAAAGTATTCAACAGCAATTGATTTTTGATCGTAGTTGCGTTAATCTTGAATCAAATCAAATAGTCTGGTTAAATTCAAACAATAAAAACATTGAATCTATAACTAAGAATTTTCGTCTTCTTGTTGATTATATAAAACAGTTAAGTTATGTTGCAGATTGCTATGATTATATACAACGAACTCAAGATATCGGAACGATCCTAGTTTGTTCTGGATCATCCAGTGAATCAATTATTCCTCAAGTCCATGACTTGAAACATCTTTGGTCTATCTACATCGAGCATTATCATCCTTGTGACAAAAAACAAAACTATGATGAAAACGTATATAAAAATTACAAGAAGGTAATTTATATTTATTCTATTCCATTCAAAATTGTTTGGCGGATTATTTTGTCAATGAGGCAGTGTTTTTATTCCTAAAATGTATTTATCAATCAAAATTGAACTAATTTTCAATGCCCATTTTCAAAATCTTTTGTAGTAGCTTAATTATAAAACTGGTAGTGATAGTGTGCAGCAATGCTGATGAAAACGAGCAGAAGATAGTAGACATCAACATATAGAACATTACGACATACTTCTCACTTGCCATGCATTCTAAATTCAGTTATTCACGTCCTTGAAAATTTCTGAACTAAATTTTAAATATTGCTTATGTATCAATATAAATAGTTAAATACATTTTATCATTTTTATTCGAATGACATGTGTTATTTTGAAATATTCATATGTACTTCTAGTACTAATTCAATGAAATGAATCTTTGTTTTTAAAGTCGTTTCTATCTGTTCAATGTTTTGAGTCTTGTTATGTAGGTACGACGATTATCTGTTAATACATTTGATAGTATATATACTGATCTTAAACAAAATATTGAAGAAATTAAGAAATATGAAAAGAGTACAACAATAATCAGCAACCTTAGCAAAACAGATTTTACTACAAATGTTCTGCCAATGTCGAATTGGACATCGTGTATTGGTCTTCTATGTAACTTACCTTATGATAAAAAAAAAAGTCGTCAACAACTAATCAGTCTGATGAAAGATTATTACCAGGGAAATATGAATGAGTTAAGGAAAATTGAAGAGTTTGAGAATAATTATCAATCAAATCAAGCAATTTGGTGGTATACACGTGATAGTTTTATCTATCGTATATTGAATAAAGCTCTACGTCAAAATAACATTGAATTATTGTTTTTATTTGGATTTTTCGTACAAGACATGTATTGACAACTCAAAGATATGTATGAACTAGATAAAAAACGTTATACTAATGAAAATCAAGTAGTTATGGTATATCGTGGACAACTCATGTCTCGTCATGAAATACCAATACTTCGAATAAATACGGATCATATTGGTAATAATGCTTTCTTTTCAACCACAATGAATCGATCACTTGCATTATTTTATACAGGTCCTGCAGAGCTTACCGATGAATTGCAAAGTGTATTATTTGAAATTGAATTGAATGTTCACGATGAATCATATCTTCCATTTGCTGATATTTCACATCTAAGTTCATTTCCGAATGAATCCGAAATATTGTTTATGATTGGTACACAATTCATGTTAAGTACTGTAAATGATCAATTAGATTATGACAATACAGAACGGATATGGAAGATAAAATTAAAAGTTCGACCTAATGATCGTATCCAAGATTTTAAAAATCTTGAAAGCTCGACTCAACGGAAAACATTGAAAAATTGTGTCAATATAATTTTAAGTCATCACTTTGTTATTCTAATTGAGTCGTTTAATGATGTGAGACCAATATTTCGAAAACTCATTCAATATTTTCCAGACGAACAAAACTGGATTTCAGCGATTGAAAACCACTGTCTTGCACGCTATGAATTTTTTAAACAAAAAAAATCATGCGGAAGCATTATTAGCCTACGAACAGGCTCTAAGCTTTTGGCTCAAATATCACGAGAGTATCGGTGATAATGATGATGAGCTTCTATGCATGAATGGTATTAGCCATATTCATAAAGAAATTGGTTTTTATTATAAATACATCCGTAAGGATAATAAACTTGCAAATAAATATTATGATTTGGCCATCGAGTTCTATAAATCAGCAGTGCAAAACAGATCGTCTGCTACTCTTAATGGCGACGACGAAATGATAAACGTGTTCTATTATATCGCTGACATTTATGGTAAATACAAGATAAAAGTTAGTCGAAACGAAAATGAAAGAACGCAAAACTATTTATTAGCTATTGAAAATCTTGAAAAGAATATTTACGATCTCGAGAGACTGAATGCTATCAACAAGACTGGCGTGGCTGATCGTCGAAAATACTTAGCTTCACTATACGAATCAACCTCTACACATGATAAAGCTTTATGCAATTTCGATTGCGCATTGGAACTTTATAGAGAGAACCATCAGCATTCAAACGCAAATTTTAATAAAATTTATGAAATCTGTGACAAGATAATTTGTATCTATGGTGGGAAAGAAGAGCAAGATTACAACAACATATTAAAATACCAGTTGATAAGACATGAATATTTGATTGCAGAAAATAGTTTGGAACCGAATAATGATGATAAAATAAGAATGATTGCCAAAAGTTATGATAATTTATCATTTATTTACAAAGCATTAAATCAATTAGATTTGGCAAATCAAAGTTCCAAATTGGCATCACAACTACATTCAAAAACTAATCAAGCAGACGAAAGAGATGAAACAAATACTGACAATTAAACTCATGGAAGCAAATTTGTATAAAAACAGAATAAACTAAGGATGAAAGACATATTGTGGTATCTTGAATATAGATTGGTTGCTTACCGTATCATGAAAATGTCAAGCAGGGGTGTGGGTGGTGTGGGTGTGGGGGGGGGGGGGGTGGGGGGGGGGGGGGGGGGTGGGGTGGGGGGGGGTGTAGGTGTGGATGTGGGTGTGGGTATGGGTGTGGGTATGGGTATCGATCTTCTGTCAATTAACACTCCCACACCCACACCCACACCCTGTTTTTGCTCGTTGTTTTGTAGTTTCATAATACAATCATATTTTAAAAAACTGAATTACACTCAAATAACCTTAATCCGATTCATTTTTTCGTCGAATCGATCATACTTTCTTGTGGAGTCTTCAATGTACTCAGTATAATAATTATATAACAATAAGCACGTCGAATCTTCGCTTTAGTTCAAGTAAAACTTATTGAGCTTATCGTCATTGTAAAACGTTCACATACTCAATTCGATTTAAAAAAATGTCGGTTTATGTACATGGTAGTTTTATCTATTATATTTCTAAAAGGTCCAATCGATCGAATCTCTATTTATCCTAGGAAAAAAGGTACATACAAAAATAAGATGCTCATTTACTTGTTAGTCATAATTGATGGTAGCCTGGTTTATATTGATGCGTATCATGTACCCTCCCTCTATAAGGGTGTGGGTGTGGGTGGGTGGGTGTTGATGAAGAGAAGACTAGCATCCATATTTACTCATACCAACACCCATATGCATACCCACACTCACACCCACACCCCACCCACACCCTCGCTCTTATTTTATTTTACGATTAATCTTCATATCAAGGAGTTTTTTTATAAAAAAAAGAGTAGCTGATAAAGTCGTTGATGCAGAAAACACAAAGAAATAAAACGTTTTGAAAAATAAGTACAGAAAAGAAGATATGTTGAAAGAACCACTTGAACTCACGTAGTCCAAGTATCGAGAGAAAAAACCATATGAAGATCTGCTTTCACATCTAGCAAGAGATGAAACATTTACTCGAATAATATGACCATATCAAGCTAATATTCATTATGTGAGGATGTATCAAAGAAAAATGTTAACAGAAAACCAATTATTGTTTAATGACTTTTTGAAGATTCCACATTTTTTCGTTGAATCAAAACTTATTCGACATTTCTCTTTCAACAGTGCTTTTGTTTGGCCTTTGATACGTTTAATCGATGAAGTGATTATATTTTATCACTAAAAGTCACAAACATAAAAACAAAAAAAATCATCTTTTCTTCTTTTATAGTTTTATCTGCTTATGAAAACGCAGGTAGTCTTTTATACTGAGTTATTATTTTCTCTAAACGACGATGGTTGACGCAAGCTTTGTAGATGTTTATGTTTTTTCATAGCAAATATTTCGCTACAAAAACGACTGTAAATCTTTAATTAACATTCTCTCTTTTCTTATGTGAAAAAAGTATATTTATAATTTCAAGCAAAACAATTCGTTAATCATGTGATTTAATATAAATTGTTTTTTTTGTTGTTGTTTCAATAAAATATAGACGGATAACAATTGTATTAGCTGCTTTGCTATTTATATTCTTTGTTTTGACTATTGTATTCGTCACTTTATATGGAGTTGAAAGAAACAAAAGTTCGACTCCTACAATAACAACTACGGGTATGAAATATTTCTATATTTACCTCTAAGATGCGTTTGTTTCTAGTCCAAACAGAAGAATGCGATACTCCTTATTGTATTAAAGCAGGTTAGTTATATTTTAATAAATTAGTAAGATTCTTTTATTTGTAAAATATGATAGCAAATTATTTACTTGAAAGTATTGATAAAACTGCTGATCCATGTGATAACTTCTTTCAATTTGCTTGTGGAACATGGTTAAAGAAGAATCGAATACCTGATGATGGTAATTTGATATATTTTCATGTTTTCAATGTGTATATGTAAATTATGTTTGTTTTAGCTGAATCTCAAAATACTTTTAACATTCTACGAATTCAACTGGATAATTACATTGTTGGTAAATATATATGATAGAATAATTTTAAACTATTTGATCATAAGAGTGATTGTAATTAAATTTTATATTTCATTAATTGAGAATCTCAAAGATATTTTTCATAGAATTGTTGAATAAACATGATAGTGGAGTTCAGTCATACTCGCGCATTCGATCTATGAGCGTGTCTAAATAAGGATTCATTAATTTAGATTGATACTTATACGTTTAATTATTTTCTTCAAACATAATTTTCTACTTCTGTTGTTTACCACAATGATTCTTTAACTATTTTAGAACACATCATATTTTATAACTCACTATAAAATACCAAATAGGGTTTTGCAATTTAAGAATATTAATCCACTTACAGAGTTTCAAGATGATGATCTTAAATAGTAATAGGAACCTATAAAATGGATTGTATTCTTTAATGAGCACTATCAAAAATTAAATCCGATAATATGATTTTCAAGGTTCTTTTTTTTTAATCAAAACTCAGTTATGAAATGACTATTCTAACCTTTTGGTACCGTGCGAGGGCAAATTTTTGGCATGATAGATTACGCCTAAAAATTTCGTGTCATAGCTTGTCAGATTCTAAACTTTTCAGAAATTTAATTGATTTAAATCGGTAGTTATGTTAGAAATTTGAATAAAATAGTAAATATAAATTCAATGAAAATCAAATTGTTTTTTCCTTACATCGACTGATAGACAAAACTAGAGCAATCTTTATCATTTCACCAAGTATATATTAAAACAAGAATGACATTAAATCGATTATTTTATTTCTTATTACATGTAAAAATATCTCTGTCGATAAGAGGCGAAAGTCAATTGTCATAATACGGTTAAGGTTAAAATCTTGGCACTATGTCTTAGTTTAAAGTCATGTGTGAAACTACAAAAGAGTAACTTAGTTTGATTATATTACGTTATAGTCGATACATTTAACTTACGTATTAACAGAAAATAAATTAAATATTTTATTGATATAGTTCATCATAGACAGCAATGATTTTTATTATAGAAAAAAAAGAAATGAATTTTCACTTGATACAAAAGTAAAGAAAAAATGTACGATATTATGTTTCTATACTTGAAAACTGTTTCATAAACTAAATGTAGGTTCGTAAAAAGAGATTATAGATAACTCGGAAATATTTTTTCTTTACTGTAAACTTGTTAGTAGAAATCTTGATATCTGCTTCCTTTCACAGAAATGAAATAATGAACATTGAGAATAAATCTACTACTAAATAGCATCTTCCAATATACATGTTTAGATATGTTAACTTCACCGATTCCTGCCGACTTAAATAATCTTCAATCTGTAATTAATGCTCGTCGTTTTTATGAGACCTGCATAAATGAAACGGTGATAGAATCCGAATCTATCAATGTAATTCTGAGTATCGTCAATGATCTCGGTGGATGGCCAATCTTACAAGGTTCATCATGGAATGAAACATCATTTAATCTTACAAATTTATTAATTCGATTACGTGAATATGGTTACAATATGATATATGGTTTTGGTACATCAAATGATGATAAAAATTCTTCAACTAATTTTATTCGAGTATTTAATCAATCATGATAATATTTGAATGTGTGAATATTTTTTTTTTCTTTTTCTATGAATAGGTTTACCAAAGTGATATTGCTCTTGCACAACGATCAAATTATCTTAATGAAACAAAAGTTACCAGATCTTACAGACAGTTTATTCAAGATGTAGCTTCAGCGCTAGCAGTTGGTAGAATAGTAAATTCTAGTGAAGTTGACGATATTTATAATTTTGAAAAACTTATTTCAACTGTAAACAAATATTTGTGTTTTCTTTTCTTTTCTTTTACAAATTAAACAAATGATAATCTTTAGTTTCATTGGACACCAGCTGAACAACGTGCTAGACAAAATGAAACAATTCGTACAACAGTTGGAAATCTTTCACAAACATTTAATACAAGTGTAAGTATTCATTTTTATGTTTGTTTATAAAATATTGTTTAGTTTTTTTTATCTTTCGTGAATTTAGTTTGGATTTACGAATTATATTCAACATATATATTCTTTATCAAATATTCCTTTATATGATAATGATATTGTATCAGTTAGTGAACTTGAATTTTTACGTAATGCATCATCGATTATTGATTCATCTTCGCGACGTGTACTACAAAATTATATTATATGGCGTTTTATTATGAGCAGAATATCAGATATGCCTAAACGTTATCGAGCTCTAAAGGATCCATTTGATGAAGCTTATCGAGGTACTTTTGCTCAACGTCCACGTTCAATAACATGTGGAAGTTATATTAATAGTAATATGGGTTTTGCTCTTTCAAAAATTTATATTAAACAATATTTTGATGAAAGCGCGAAACAGCAGGTATTGTATTTAACTCTTTAAAAATATCGCAAGCAAACTAGATTAATTTGTTTAATTTGCGAATAGACTCCTTGAGATTTAAATATTGTACGAAGGAAAACCAAGAGTAATGGAATCAACGATATTTTTTCCTTTTCATTCCAAACGAATATAAAAAAATATTTTTTCATATTAGTTTTACATCTTCACTATAAGTAGTACTAACAATATCTGTCTAGATGACTTGCATGATGCAGACTCATCGTACATTCTATACATATGAAACAACTGCAAGAGCAGACACATATCTTAGTTTACACTGTGTACTATCTAACAGTTGATTCCTGCCAAATAGCCTCTCCTAAATTTTACAGGTTTATTATGAAACTAGTTGTATTGAGATTTATAGACTCCTATAGATGAGTACTCAAATCAGCTAGTCATCTCTATTGTCTAATGCATTTAGTATGTAGAAATAAGATTAATGGAAAATTTACCTTCTACAAAATGCACGCTGACAATAAAATTACTTCAATTACTCTATCAACTTCGGGTACTGAATTATAATCAATTTTTCATTAAAGTTTCGAATTTTCAAACAAAAGTTATTAGCATGATACATAATATACATAAAATTTAGATATTCAATAATAAGACAATCAAATATTCATTCTTCGTGAAATTTTCATGACGTCCTTGGAATCATTAGTTTATTCGTATGCTAAATTTTGTCAAAAAACTAACAGAAATGAACAGTTCTAGATTTCTATTCCATAATACGGAATTCATTCATTGATTTCTTTTTTATATTTTAGTCATTAGAAATAATCAATAATATTCGAAGCGCTTTTCTTAGTATGCTGAAAAATTCATCTTGGATGGATGAAATTTCAAAAAACAAATCAATAGAAAAAGTAAATTGAAAAATAAACTCTTTCATAACTTTCATTATATTTGAAGGCATTGGCTATTGATGAAAAAATTGGTTACCCAGATTTTTTAGGCAGCGATAATACAACACAACTCGAAAAAATGTATCAAGAGGTAATGATGAATGATGGTTTCTAATCTTTCATATTTTTGTTTCAGTATATTTTCAATGAATCATATATAAGTAATGTTTTAAAATTATTAAAAATAAAAGCCAATGAAAATCTTCGAATGCTTCGTGAACTTGTTGATCGTAAAGCATGGGGTGCTAGTCCACCAACTATAGTCAACGCTTTTTACAGTCCACCAAGAAACCAAATCAGTAAATAGAATTCTTGTTTTGTTTTCAAATAAGAATCCGATAGTCAAATAAAATATTTTCTTCATGTTATGTAGTGTATCTTTGACGCATTATTCCAGGATGCATCAATATTAGATAGTTGAGAATAATATAACTATGTATATACTATAATAGAAAATCGACTAAAAATTTAGATATCACATATTATTTGGTAGGAAATCAAGACATTTGATTACTAGTAAAGGTAAGGATTGTGAAATATTTGTAGTTCATCAAATTCTTCTGCCATCTTTTGGAATAACCTTATCTATAAACAGTGTATTTTTAAAGATTTTTCTTACGATAATTGACTTTATTGATTTTTTCATGAGAGCCCTTTATTAGTATTTCCTTCTCTTATGTATATCTCACTAAAGCATTTCAATCCAAAAATGGAGAAAAATGTGAGGAACTTAGTAATCGAAGAACTCATCATCGGATCAATACTATTTAATACCGAAATTTATTTCGTTGGTCATTATGTAATTAGGCTTTGTTGCGAAATTTTTTTTATAAAAAATTAAAAAATAATTTTCTCTGTTTAGTTTTTCCAGCTGGTATTCTACAAATGCCATTTTTCAATAAAGATGCACCGAAGTTAGTTTTTTTTTGTTCAGATCTCTTTTAAAAGGAAACTACCATTATTTATGACTTTTAGATATTTGAATTATGGTGGTAAGTTTCAATAACGTAAAATGATATCATGCCACATAAGATTTTAGCTATCGGAGTGGTTATTGGTCATGAAATTACTCATGGTTTTGATGATATTGGTCGTCAATATGATAAAGATGGAAATCGTATTTCCTGGTGGACTGATGATACTATTAAAAAATTTAATGAACGTAAGCAATGTATAATCGATCAATATAGTAACTATGTTGTAACTCAAATTAATAGGACCGTAATGTTTAAAAGAAACTGTTTTCGTACATTTGACGCTTGCTTTTCTTTTCTAAACTTTAGTTGAATGGATTTCAAACACAAGGTGAAAATATTGCTGATAATGGTGGAATAAAAGAATCATTTTATGTAAGTTTTATTTTAAATTTATTTAGAAAAACTGAAGTAAAAGCAAAGTATCATTGGCAAAAAATTTTAAAAAGTCTACCTAACATAACAAACTATTGAAATGAACAAGTTTTTCTCATGTACAATTGATCTAAAATAACACACTAACATGATTATGCGATTGATGATTGTTAGTAAAAAAAAAGAATGTTTATAATTAGCTTTTATGTGCATACACGTATATGTATATATATCTACAGGCTTATCAAAACTGGATTCGAACGCATCCAAATGAAGATAAAAAATTATCTGGTCTATCTGAGTATTCAGCAGAACAAATGTTTTTTATTAATTATGGACAGATTTGGTGTTCGAAAATGACTGATGCTAATGCATTGAATAGAATTTTAACAGGTGTTCATTCACCGGGAGAATTCAGGTATATTCTATTTATGATAGAAAACATAAGAAAATCAATAGATAACAGAATTTCGTATCCGAAAGAGTATTTATTAAATTAGAAGAAAACATTTGAGTACTAGATCTCTTGAACAACAAGACTCGAGAAATCAGTTTTTGGAAGTCGATGATCAAAGTTCATATTGTGAAAAGAACCTTCTCTAAATAAAGACGTAGCAAACGTTTCATAATTCGATTTCAATGATACCCATTTCATCAAATTCAAAATTCTGATCATCCTGTTTTAGAGCTCGTGGTCCAACATCAAACTTTGACGAATTCGATCGGGCATTTAAATGCTCACCTGGGCTAAACAACAATAGTCAAAATCCCAAATGTGCTGTTTGGTAATTGATAACAATAACATTGAACAACACAGAATCTATTCATATTCATGCCTGACTTTACACGAAAATAGATCACGATTTTTTAGTAATGAAAACAGTTTTGTTCCTTTTTTGTTTTACTGATTCTCTCACAAAGAAGACATAATAAACAGTGAACAAGAAAAATTAAAAACCAAAGTCGATCATTTTTCAAATTATTTAACGATTTAGTAGTCTATTGGTAATAAATGAAAGGCGTTCTCTTACAAGAATAAAGTAATCGTTATTAATTAGGAAGAAAATAACATATCGATCAGCCCGAATATGAAACGAATAAAATAATATTCTATTGATTACTACATGGTTTCTCACATTTTACTTTATAAAGGCAATTGAAGAAATAAAAAAAGTGTTGGGTGTGGGTGTGGGTGTGGGTGGGTGGGTGTAGGTGTGAGTGTGGGTGGGTGAGTGTAGGTGTGGGTGTGAGCTATTAATTTTCTGAAACCCACACGCACGCCCTCATCTACACACCCACATCCCACACCCCACACCGCTGGAAACAGGGAAAACTCGCATAAGATTGTTGTTGCCTGTAAACCCCATTTGTTTGCATTCGAATGATGATGATGATAACATATGATAAAATCCTGAAATATTAAAAATTTTTGAGAGATCTTGATGCTCAATTATGTCAAAATGCATTAGATTCAAAAATAACTTCAAGAAAATGACTTTCATTTAGATGAGTCTTTTTTTTTCTTTTAAAACACTAGAGAGCTTGTAGAATGGTTCGATCAATTCATTGCATACAGGTTACATCAATTTCTGCCCGAACCAAAGTCCTCTCGTTAACTTTTCTTAAAACCTTCAATTCTATAGAAATTTGGCATATTCTCTGATGTTTAGTAGCATACAGTTTCATAAAAACGTATTTCTCTGCAGTCCACGTCAATCCATAATAGAGTTAGTATGATCTTTTCAGATAATTATTACTTGCATGCAATCAGAGCGAATGCAAAAACCAGAGTGTTCCATAGGACTACCAAGTAATCCTATAAATATAGTGTGATCTAAATGTATGTTGCTAATAAATACTTTTTAATGAAAATCTATGCCTCTAATCACATTGAAATGCATAAACTATTCATAGAAATAAAGCTTTTTAGAAAGATTAATAAAGCAAATTTGTCTTTCATATTATTTATTTTCATTAGTAGCGAAAAATCATTTTTTTGAAATTAATTATACAACAAAAACGAATTTATCTTGATCTAGAACAATTGAATAAGATATTCTTTTCTTGAGTTATGTGATCGATATTTAAGTGATTGATCACCTTTAATTCATCTAACATATTCTCATGAATCATTATTTCTTCGTCCTAAAGCTCTTGTACTTCGTCAACAAGATATAGCAGGTGAATATCATCGGTAATTAATTGAAACACCACTACTGATTCAATCCGAATTTGTTGTCTTTTATTATTATGTGATTGGCTTAATGAAACTCGAAATAAAACATCATCAACAATAAACCAAAAACTTGATTTATCATTATTATCACTTATATTTGAATCATATCTAGCAATGCGTGGGTGTGGGTGTGGAGGTGGAAGTGTAGGTGTAATAAGGAAGATTTGAAAGCGCACCCACACTCACCCTAGTTAGTGATTATTCATAGAAGAAAACAAAAATTATTATTTAATTGAATGAAGAAAATTAAACTTTTAGAAGTTTTATAAAACTTTCTGTTTTTCTTTTCACTTGAATTAGAAAATGTAAGAACATTAGTAAAGAGAATGCTAATGAATAACTATGTAATAGTGCTTAGTTTTAATAGTGAATGTAAACTTATTCGCACATTTATTCTTATCTATCATCTAAATAGAAGAAATTTCAATGAATATATTGGTTCGAATCTCGAAATACAAGATTCTTCATATGCTACAATATAAAAATATTTATAGCAGCTGTATAAATTATTTGTGTGCTTAATTGAAAATTTCCAAACCAATCATGCAGCATTTTTATTGTTCGATAAATTCACATTCATTGTTTAAAAATATTTCAATTTATATTATTTTATATCTATTTGGATCGAGAACATTATTATTTATCAGATGATGTTGGACCAATAGACCCAGTGTGGTCAAAGCTAGCTTTTCTTCGACTGCTGGTCCGTGATTTTGCCAATATTCACCAAACACACCATGTGAATCAGCTGGGTTGAGCTGAGAGACACGAAATCCCCGAAAAGCGATAGCTACAGTTAATTCATGCATATCTTGATCAGCAATAAGGACAGGTATAGGTCCAGAATAGTTACCGATGGAAAATTCGTGAACAAAATCATCATATGTATCTGGAAGCTGATGACCATTTCTATCTTTTGCGAAGATAGGCAAAGCAAAAACAATAGCGCGAATATTTCGAAACATGGCTCCTTCCTTTTGAAGTACTAATCCAATGGCATAGGCAGACAGTTTTCGAATTAGACCATCAATTCCAAGATGCTTGCCAGCGAATACACCAAGGCCAATACCGGTCTCCACAACAATTTCTACTCTTTCCATATTACATGCGTATAATCGTATTCTTACCATTCTCATAAGATCATCAACCAGACGTCTTTCGTCAAGTTGAACTTCTGGATGAGATTGTACTGGGTAAAAGTCTCTTCCATTAAACACTTTTGGCTTGCCTGTTATTTGATCGAGTTCGAAAATTTGGTGCCAATTTTTGATATAACTTGTAATATCATCGACATCATGTTTTCGTCCGGCAAAATCAAAACCTGTCACTGAAACGAGTTTGATCCGATTTGGCCAATCATCATGTAGAGAACGCGGTAGTATTTTTGCGTCGAATTTCATCAAGATAGGACAATCAGACATACGGACAACAAATTTCATACGAAAAGCTTCACCGCCATTTTCACTTTTTCCTTGAAGAGCATGATAAAGAAATTTTTTGTCCATGCCTTGAACATTTCTATCAGCATACACGACGTAAGAATTTTGCCACTTTCGAATTTCATCTACAGTCATGATAAATGGACTGTGAAATTGATCATGAGGAAAATAGATTTTTTTATTGGTTTCTAATTGTGAAATAGGTTTCAATAGCTTAAATGCTCGTACACCAGATACAATGTATTGACCTTCAATATTATGAAAACCAAAATTTTGCTCAAGAAAATTTTCCATTTGATTAGTTTCTGAAATACATTTTCCACTCATGGGGCCCTGTTTGTTCATAATTGGAAGACTCTGCGTTAAGTATTCGAAAAGACTGCGTACATCGTTCATAGTGTGCTGATCAACACCAAACATTTCGCTCGGATATGGTCCTCTAGGTGTTCTTCTTGGAGATGGTCCTTGGTATGCATTGGACGAATAATGAACGCGCTCTTGGACCCTAGCATATTCTTCCTTTCCTCCTCGCGCATCACTTTTCACATTTTGGGGCAAACTAACAGATGGAGCAAGTCTATATTTTGGTTGACAACCAGGTTCTAGACCACGTGGCGAATTAATCGAATTATCTGTCTTTGGCTTTTGTTTGTGAAGAACTAACGAGTCATATGAAAAATTGCTCCCAACACCAATTATGTTACTCGACCGCTTGAATTCCACTTGTTTCGAGTAGAGAAAATCCAATCCAACACAGGCCTTTGATATAAGCATCGGTCGAGATTTATCTCTTGAATCATCTGTAGCATCTAAATAAATATTACAAGATTGTTCTTTTTGTCTGTGTTCAAATTGTATTAATATTCAAAAATTAATAGGTTGTTTCGTATGAAAAAATAGAATAAGATTGAAGAAAAAGCAATTCTCAAGTAATGTCACAAAGAAATGTCTCAGATACATTTCTCATTATATTTTTGAAAATTCTACATATTCAATGTTTGGTAGTAGACTATCGAGAGAAAATCACTTAATGGAAAAACTATTTTGTCTACTCTTATTTTAGAAAATTAATGGAACATGGTATTGATGTTCTTCATTATAGATGCTGGAATAAACAACCAAAATTATAATCTTTGGTATTATCAATGTGTATTACTAATTCAAAACGAAATTCTGATTGATTTTTAAACGAAATCAGAACAAAATATACTTGCCTGAAACATCGTTTGTCACTAAGATGACGTTCTCCTTGAAATTTTTGTTGCGATACAGCGTTTTGAAGTTCCGAGTTTGAACACGAATATCATCGGCTACATGCTTAAGCATAGTTTGGACATCTATATTGGGCATTGTAACATATTTTAGTAAATTTTCCATGAAATAACCGTCTCTATTATTTCTTGTTTCACTAAGTGCTGTTATATTCGAACAATTTGAATAAACTATTAGTGTTTGTCATGTGACTGTTGGACATATTAAATTTTGCTGAACATTCTCTTCAGCATTTCTCATGGCTTTTCTACAGGTATCTAAAATGAATATTTTGATACCACACTTTTTCTTCACAGACTGAACTACGGAGTCCAATGAAATAATGCCATCTAACGACTGTAAATAATTCTCTTTCTCTTTCGATTTGGCATGACCAGCAAAATAAAATAGTGCTAAATCATTGGGTTGAAGCTCGTTAGCAAATGTTTTTAAAACTTGCTTAAATTCTTTTGATTGAAGATTGACTTTTGTTGTTACAGTAAAGGCAATATTTTCAAGAGTCTTGTGAAAATCTTGAACATCATTAATACAATACTCTAAGGGACAGAAGATATAATTGTTGATACCAATAAGTAATGCTCGCTTGTGTGGAATAGTGCACTGTGAAGCCATTAAATCTAAAATTCGGTAGTAAACATATCAGACTGATCACGAAGGATTATGAAAGAAGTAAATAAGACAATATTCCTTTACAATTTCTTGTATTTCCTGTTATCCTCAATATATTCTTTTATCTATAATTTTTTGAAATGCAAAATATGTGATAAATATATAAATAATCAAAAATAATTATATCAATCGTTGATAGTTCATTATTTTGAAAGTTTAGTATGATGACTATCTCGTTCAGAGAAACTTAAAAATAATATTGAAATGGTATACATATTTAACTTTATTTCTATATTAATTTCCAAAGGTCTTTTATATTTCAATCGAACCTAATAAACTAGGTAAGACATTAAAAATAATTATCAATAGAAATTGAAATGCTTGTAAAGGTTGTCAACCACTAACCAGTTGCAAGTCAGAGAGAAGGCTATGTTAACGTGTATGTACAATCCAGTTTATTGTTGAGAACAGAGGGATATATATATATACATGGGTTTAGAACAAAAGGAATATACTATATAGAAGTTCCAGAACTCACACGAGAGTACTACTGAGAACAATAGAGAGAAACGAATACGCTGGAATATATCAGAACAGTGAACATATATCCATTCACGCATAACTACAGAACGAAAGAAGATATAGATGGAATATACATATATATATGATGACATCAAAACGATGACAGGAAGAAAGAGATAATACCTGAGAGCTGGCGCCATCTAACACAGTTTCACGGTGAATTTCTGAAGATTCTAATTTTCTTCCTGAAAGAAAGGAACAAACATGAGGAATGCTGGCTTCTTGCACATCTTTAATCAGCATTCTTGAATCATCATCAATACTAAGTGGATCGAACACATACGACAGGCTAAATAAAAAATGCACTCTCGCCTATTCATATTGTGAAGAGCAAGAGGAAAATCATATTTTCCTTATTCGGTTGACAATCTTTACAAAATTCATTTTCATGAGGTTGTACAATTTTATTGCAAGCTGACGATGACCTTTGGAAAGAGGTTAATTCAGCGTATTAACTCATATAAAATTATTCAGATTTATCTCAAAAACAGGTAGCGATCCATTGTCACCTTGAAAGAGTAGACTATGGCTCTATAAAAGTAAAACAAATCTTAAATTTTAAGGAGTGCACTAGCATTGCCAGCTCAAGAGGTACAAAACTATATATAATGCTTGATTTAAAGCTTTACTACTTTGGGAGTTCTAGATACTATATTCGACAATTTTAATCCATTTTGCCAGCAATTTTGGTAAAAAAACTCAGTTTTTTGAGTATTTTTAACTTTTTCTGGAAAAATCAAGCCTGTTTTTAAGAAATTTCTTTGTTCAACTATTGCAAACGGTTTCAAAAATCCAAATTAAAAGTCATTGTCTTATGTGGTTCGATGTGTTTTTATCTTCTCTTTCCAACGGTGAAAACCACAGCTCACAATCTTGTTCGTATGAAAAGTTATTCAAAAAATACCCATCCGCCTTCTTTTTTGGGATGGGTGGTAGTTTTTGCATTCAGAATGAATATGAGTCTTTAGTTTAACCGAAGTGTGACGACTTTTGGCGGAATAGGCACAATTAAAGAGCTATTTTCCTAATACTTTTATGTGTATAAGCAAAATTCTACTATAATGTATTTTCGCTGCTCTTTATATACTACTTCTTAGCATAGACGGACCTTGAAAAATAAATTAAACACAAAAATAGAAAAAATAGGTTTAAGGACAATGTCAAAGATTAGGTTGCAGTCACAATGTATCAGAGAAGGACAAATCAAGGGTACAATTTGAAGTCAAGAAAGATAGAAAGATAGAAAGCTATTACTGTTATGGACAACAGTATGTATGAGACAATGACATAATAAATATGGAAGGAGATCCAACAAAAAGAAGATCGTACGATACAAACTACATGTAGAAAGGAAAGAAAGATGGAAGCATGGATAAACAAAAAAGATATTGTGGTTTTTTCTAATCCGGAACAGTAACAACTAACACATCGTGTTTGATTGTGACACTCGACTAATGCTTAACTGCTATTTGACTGAAGAGAGAGCATGCTAACTGAGTTTGATCAACTGTCCACCATCAGTCGACACATAAAAGGAATTATTCGAATCAAATGCGACTTCATTAGAAATGTAGCCGAAGTTAAGTGATAGTTTCAATAGTATATGACCATTTTGAGCACATATGACATAAAAAGCTTGATCGAAACTGCCAATGATTACTGTCAATCTTTTTGTACACTGTTCGTGAAAAGTCATGACAACAAGAATAGGAGAGCTTATGAGATAACCATCAGTCTGTACTGACCATAGCAACTGTCCTGCATCAAGCGACAGAGCGACGAGCATTCCAGAATCAGAACCAATAAATACCCGACGTTCGCGCTGATCGATAGCTGCCGATGACATAATCATTTTTTTTGACATAAATGTCCACAATAAATGTCCATCGGTTGCATTTAAACAATAGACGTAATGATCCCAAGAGCCGAACACTACTCGATCATCGAACACTGCCGCCGTTCCTTTGATTTGGCCCTTTCAACAAAAAGATAACAACAGTTATAACTATTTCCTAGATAAACATGAGCAAAACACTGACCTGATTGCGAAGAGCAGAGTTAGACATGAAACATAATTTCTTATTTTGTTGACACACTGAACGAGCTATCGTCGTCATGGGTGTATGTTTGGGTAATTTGAGATTGATAAGAATGGATCGAGCTCTCCGGCCAAAAGTTTCAAATTGCCATACTTGATTACCATTATTAGCGTTCAAACAATGAAGCCGACCTGTATTTGCACCGATATATACACGAGCTTCTTTTTTAGTTGTCTTATCGATTACTATCGTCGGTGTACAATGAGTATGATCGCCGAACGGTAACGAATAGAAGAGAACACGACCGGTACAGCGTTCGACAACAGCCAAATATCCATTAGCCTTCGGTGAGTTCACTTCAACAGCCCAATACACACGTTCACCGACAATCACAGGACTGGCTCCAATTGACTGACCTAACTTCACTTCCCAAACCAGTGCACCCGACGATTTGTTTAGTGCATATGCCCATCCACCTACAAAGAAGTAGTGAGAGAGAAGCATACTAAAGAAGGCTGAAGACATGTCAAAGAAACATTACCATAGTCACCAATAAAAATATATTGCTGATCGATTGCTGGTGTGCCATGAATACCATATATGGCAGGTCTCGCAAAAAATCTCCATTTCAACTCTCCTGATCGTCTATCAATAGCATATAATCGTTCATTATCCGCTCCAACGTACACAGTTGTATCATCAACCACAGGGGAACTCTTACTCGCTGTATGTATACCGACATTAATAGGGCCATAAAGCCAGGTGATTCTGTTCAAACCAAAAAGAAGTAGTATTGAATTTGAACTCACGGGAACTGATGTACGGTCTACTCACTTAAGTTTTTGAATCACATATAGAGTCAATGGTAGATTATCTTTTTGATAATCTGCAAAGGAAGACATAAAACCTAAGTGTGCTGGATCAGTACCACGATATTGCGAAAGAGCTGTTGGAAATAGTAAGCTTTCATTTTCATTATGTTTCAAGGCAAAATCTTTGTCAATGCCTGCTAAACCTTGTTGAACGGTGATCGGTGCTGCTCTTTGCCATAAGGCCACCTCAGGTATTTTGTCATCAATGTCTATAGAGTAATTCGAAGATGTGGTGAACGTTAAAGAACATACACCGATGCCTGGCGTCCGACTAGAGGAAGACAATCAATCATCCGTGATTCCATGTACACACTTACATTACTGGAAAGCGATTCATACCTTCCATTCTATAACCAGCTTTAGCATCGTTAGATGATGGTTGATTTTGTCGAGAATACAATTTACAAGTTATCAATTTGGATGTGATTACAAAGGTGATCGCAGAACCAAGAAAGAAACCCAAGAGCATAGAAATGTACCATTTAACACTACCACGACTCATAGTGAGTGATAACCAATGACCTAGACAGAAATAATGCAGTAACAACAATGCAGAAGATAAATCCTACAGTACTATTGGTCTCTAATCAGGTCCTTGAGAACATAAATCCATAGTCACGCAGCACATTGCAATGCAAGAGTTTTTCTAGCATAAAATATACTATCCAAAACTGTGTCTAATAAACTTTTTCTTTTGAAAAGTCATCCACTACAAAGTGTAACGCAAAAAACTTAGACTGTTCGATGCGGCACAGAACAATTATCAAGCCATACAAACTGTTCATAACAAATTGAATACATCATTTGCGATGCTTTCTTAGTGATAACTATAATAATTTCAACATGAACAAATTTCATCGCAAAACATATCTCCTTACCATATGTTACTAAACTAATAGTCACAAGAGAACATTCTCGAACGAGAAAGCTCGTAGTTGGTACGCTGAACAACAACATGATCTATCTCCATCTGGATTGATGGGTATGGGTACCGGTGTTAATCTTCAACTAATCCAAACCCACACACACACCGTCGTCGATGTCGCATAGTTCAGATACCGACTGCCGTTTCGGATCGAACTGGGTGCGTACAAAATTCAGTAGGATTCTCTCGCACTTCGTCAGTTTTTATGGGATTCCGATGAAATCCGGCTAGGAATCCTGTGCAAAGATCGCTTGCTTTGGGTTGAAAAATTCTGTACTATAGTACATCTGAATACACGTATGAAAAAAAAATATTTACTCGATTAAATCGTCTACATTGAACCTATCATAGTAATTCCATCAAGGTAGTTACGAAAAGTTTTAAAAGTCGATGCATGTACTATGTGGGAGAGCTATTCGGCTCCTAGCAGACATATTCATCTGCGAGTAAAGTTATTCTTTATGCTGTAAAAATATTCACTGGCAAGTACATTTACTTACTCTTCAGTGGAGTTATTTACTCTTCAACTGTAATAGAAATTAGTATCCAGAAATATTCGCACTCGAATGGAAGAATTGATTTTGTAATGAAAATGGAAGTTTTAATTTTGTTTCGAATTTATTTAACATTTAAAAAAGTTTTTCAAGTTTAATCGAATACGTTCTCTTAATCTAAAGAGCCCTTTTCAAAACTAATATTTATCTAGGATAATAAACCTTACCGTTTGAGTCTCGGTGAATACAAATTCATCTCATAAGCTTTTCGAATCTTGCGACGACGAAGCATTTCTGAATGTTTTATCACTTTAGAGCTCAAACTTTGCTCAAATATAGACTCAAAATGAGGTATGAAGAAAAGTAAATCAGCTTAAGTCTCACGCTTTACTCATAATGGCTAAATATTTACATAGGTTCACTGGAAGTCTAGTAGTAATAGACATTTCGTTTCTTAAAAATATTTTGCTGTCAAAAGAATGTTCATATTTCTACGAAGATTTGAAAACTCTAGTATTCACACACTCCATATGTGTGGATAGATGCAATTATTGACAACCGTCCATTCTCATTCAAAACCAAAATTTTCCTCTATAGCAAGAAATAATTCATTATTCTACACATTACAGGTATCAACAAGTAACGCAACGCAAACGTTGCTATCCCTCTACTGAAAGGAACTATGCAACCATGCATACCTTGTATAGACCAACAATAAAGAAAATTTTCACTCATCATTCGGTGAGTTATTCTCAACTAGCATTAATAGAGTATTGACAGTCACTAATTGTTCATATAGCCAAAATAACTAATGTGATTGATAGAAAACTTTCTTATTCTTATATTTTTGCTATGATTGAGCAATACTTATTTGGCTTTCCTTAAAAATGCATGATCCAAAACTCTTGGAAGTAAAAGAGAACTGATTTGTATAGTTCATCACATTTTTCAATTCAAGTATTAGGTAAACCATGCAAAAAATGAGTTGATCTCAATGTATATAATTTAACTTGGTACTTCTCATGACTTGTCAATAATAGTCAAGTCAAGTGAGACCTATTTTGTCAGTTAAAATATTCATAGATCCACATTCCATAGTACTTCTGTAATTCCATGGGGGTTCCTTCCACCATCATATATTTCATCTCCGAGTGGTCTTTAAATAGCACCATTTAATAGGACTTTTTATGTTGATCATTCTGATTATCAAAAAGTTTATCATGAATCAAACGATAAGTGAGAAAGTCACAAAGTACGAAAATACGCATTCTTAATTATTTCCTCTGAATTCAGACGTGATCGTTTTGATTATTTTGACGGGTATGAATGTAGCTATTTTCGAAATCGACATTTCCACTCCAGATTCGAGTAGACCATCGAAAAATTTTCAAGGTCATCTATTTTCTAAGGCAAATTTAAATTATTTTTATTGAGCCTCACCAGCTACCTGTTTCCGCTCAATAGCTATAACATGCGAAAATGTATACTTGTCATTTGATTAGAAAATGAAATTCGTGCAGAAAGCTCGACAGAGAAGCTTCTGCTTTATCGATCTAAAGGGTGGTCCAAAAGTTTCGAACCTTCTCAGTAAATCGATGATATCTATCACAAATTTTTATGTATATAATTGATCGAAATATGCATTTTTGTGGGGGAGAACAAGAGCTATCTTTTGAAAAAAAATAACTCGAAATACATAAGTTTATTACAATCTTATGGGCAATTTACTAATCTTGAATGAATATTTTGGCCTTGCATTTTTGAGAAAAAGAAAATAAGAAAACTTTTTGTGGTAATCGCATGCTTTCTGCTCGCAAAAGTTTTTTGTGAACTTATCGTTTCAATATAGTAGTATTCATCATATTTGTTGATTATGATTATAGATCTGTCACACTATTCATATTGGTAAAAATTTGTATATAGAAAGTCTTACTTTATGAAGTTTCTTGTTGCGAGTTTGTTCTCTAAAATGCCAGCTACTTGAAGTTATCCTTCCGAAATTCTTCGTAGTTGTACCGAAAAATTCTAGTGTTCATATTAAATCGAATAGAGGGTGTTAGATGAAAATAAGATGAAAAATGAGGGCTGTTTTCTCTCGATGATGTCGTCTTCCCAATTTGTTTGAATCATAATACTTATATCATAAAAAGATAAATTCATCAATCTCGATAAGTTTGATAAATATGTATGGTATCAATGTAAAAGGCCATCGAAAACATTTGGAATGGAGAGTGGATGTATTGTCATTACGAAGATCTCAAGGGTGGTCCACCAATAGAATTACTGCGGAATTATGGAATTTTTATCCACCAACTGATATTACTAAAAAGGGATTGCTTTCGTTTGTCAAAAGAACAATTAAACGTGGTATTATTCAAGATGTTGCCAGGATAGGACGACCCAGAACCGCAAGAACTATGTTAAACATTGAAGAAACTCGTGAACGACATCAGAACAAACAAAATCCAGGCCAACGAGCAACAGCTAAAAAACTGAGAATTGGAAAAACATCAGTTCAAAAATTTTGAAGCATGATTTGAAATTAAAACCTTATCATAAAACACGTGCGCCCAGAATTACTGAAACACATGCTGCAGCAAGATTGGATAGTACAAAAACATTGTTAAGAAAATATGGAAGAAGCCGAAAAGCCAAATATTACAAATGGAATAAAGTAATAATCATCGATTTTAGTGATAAGATAGAAGTCAGACAGAAAAACAACAGCAAAAGCAATGTTGTTTATAGTGAAAATAAACATTCAATACCAAATGAGTTATCAACTGCACCAGAGGAAAAATTTGCAAAAGGATTCATGTTATGGGGTGGAATTAGCAGTAAAGGTTTAATTCCAGAAGTCCATTATTTATTGATGAATTTCTCGAGTAGTATGAATGGAAACAAGGTAATAAAAAGATAATAAATGCCGATCAATATACTGATTTATTAGAAGAAGTTAGTGTACCTGCAATGCAACAATTATTTCCAGATAACGATTACATTTTTGAAGATGACACATCTCGAATTCACCATACAGCAGCCGTTAAAAAATTTGTAGAAGAAAATATACCTGATCGTATCGATTTTGATGATCAAGCCGTGAAGATGGATGATGTATGGCCAATAGAAAATTTTTGGAGTATCATCCGACAAGAATTAGATGAATATGTATTTAATTCATTCCAAGATGTTAAACAAAAAATTGTTGATATATGGCAAAATTTTAGTCAAGCAAAATGTGAGAAAATGATGAATAGTATTCCAAAAAGATTAAAAGCCATTGTTCAAAAACAAGGTCAGCGCATCAGCAGATTTGATTATTGACGTCTATACTAAATATCATACTAGCGAACTTATACATTATTTAAATCTATTGGTGAAAAAAATTTTTTTATTTTTCTCACAAAATGTAAGGTCAAAATACTCATTCAAGATTAGTAAATTGCCCATAAGATTGTAATAAATTTATGTATTTCGAATTATTTTTTTTCAAAAGATAGCTCTTGTTCTCCTCTAAAAAATGCATATTTCGATCAATTATATACATAAAGGTTTGTGATAGATATCATCGATTTACTGAGAGGGGTCAAAACTTTTGGACCACCCTTTATAGGACTAGTTTTAAGGATCGCTTTTTAGAAAGAGAACCGTTTATTTACATAACATTTTCTTTAGCGTCGAGTCGGTCCATGCGGGCTTAAATTAGTTGTGGGCCACTTTGGACCGGCCCGAACCATGAAAAAGTGACCCGTTTCGACTTATGGTTCCTAATCTGCTTGTCTTCACGGTTTTTTCAGACATTCCAATATCTAGCTATGCACAAAAAACACCTTCAGTATCTGTCCGAATCATAGAAAACACGAGTACAAATCACCAAGCTTTTCCTACAAGTATCGGATAATTAGGACCGATTTCAATAGCATATTAATTGCTATTCTTTTCATTAAATGCATAAATACCTGCAAATAGTCTGCGTCGACGAGAAAAAGATCACTAACCTCAACACTGTTTTCATAAATTTGACAAAACTTGCCAATATTCACTTTCATTTTCATATCTTTATACGTTTAGATCCAATCTAAAGCTTACATAACCCATACTTAATTACTAGTTTCATTTAAGGATAGAAAAATCCTCTGAATACTGATACACTAAAAGAGCTTACGAGAGATACTGCAATATCAAACACTTACGTCTGGTTCTTGTATTTATTCGATGCATATAGTAAAGATAAATATAATACGTTGGTAATTTATCGATGTTATTAAACAAAAAAAAATGAAGGAATAATTTTGCTTATGCAGATATCGAACAATGTTTGGCTTGTATGCATTCAACCGTGTACGTTGGATGAAGAATAATCATATATTATTGAGAGAGAATGCTTTTTTTTTCTCCATAAAATAGTATCATTCTTTTGCTTGTCCTTTCACTTATGGATCAGATAGCTTGAATAATGAAGAGAGAAAGTTAATCGATGGTTGAAAAAATGTGCATGATATCGCGACTTTATTTTCATTTTTCTTCCTGTCGTCGCAAGGATAGGTAAAATATACAGGCTTCACAAGTAAAAGCACGTCATTTTATATCATGGATACTGGTAAAATTCACCCAAACGGTTCCCTCTGTCTACAAATGAAGATATTGGTTTCTACTATATAGTACTTTTGAAAGTACTTCTTGTCCATACATGTATGTCTTGTCAAAAATTGACATTCGGATGAATTATTGTCCTCAGGCTCATTTCTAATACTCACAGAAACGGAGGAGTCGCTTTCAACAGCTGGTTTGGCGACCATCATCGTGTGTGTCATTGTTTTAATACAGATTCCTTTTCCAGTCATTATTCTAATTTAACTTGCAGTTCAAATTATCATTCTACTACCCACATGGGAGGATGTGGGTGTGGATGTGAATGTAGATATAGAAGGAAAAGAAAAAGGAGACAAATTAAATGCTCAGTATTTTTGTTGTAAATGTGCAGTAAAGAAATCAAATGCTCAGTAAACTAATAAATTGATCAGTATTAAAAATTCAAGTTTCAGTGATCAATTCAGTTTGCTGATTAAAAATGCTAGTTAGCGCAGCTCCAAAGGAGCTAAGATGTGGAACTCACGTATATCCTTTAGACCTGTTATCCCAATATGTCATTTGCAAACTGAAAGAATCCTATTGATTAAAATGATTCCTATAACTCATCACTGATATAAACGATATTATATTATGTATATATGTAAAGCTGCGAGTATGCTTTTTCATCTGAGTGCACCCGATTTTTACTATTAGCGTTGCTATATACTCGATAATAATCATTCTTTTGTTTTTTTAACTTGAAATTTTTTCATCATCCAATATTTCATAAATATGAGTCTTACAAAAGTGCATTTAATATGCATTAGCCATTCTTACAATACTTCTATACATCTCAATTAATTCGTCAATAATAATATTGTTTCCTTCTGCCACTAATAAAAGATTGAATGATGTTTCTCGTATTGATTACGTCATTGGTACGACATATTAATACTTATTATAAATATTCATCGTTGATTTTTATTTTACAAGCTAAAATTCTTTGAAAAGCCAATTTTTATACTATTAAGAATTCTGTTAAATGTATATTAATTTTTTCAAATAATTATAAAAACATCATCA